CTGCAATGAAAACAAGTTGCATAATTCTGGAGTGAACCGTTCATGATAACGTCCCTTTAATGTGTTTGGTATTTAAGGTGAGTTTAACAAGCAGCTTCAAAGAGCAACTCCGGATCAAAGTTATCATTATGTTTGTCCCATTTGCATTCCCATTGGTTTAAGTAAAACAAAAACTAAAAGCGCTAAAACAATCAAAAAACAAAAAACTGTAAATCAACAAGAAGCCAAATTACTGGCAGTTTCTATATTTACAGTTGTCTCATGAAAACACCTGAAAAGTTCACAGTCATCAAACAGTTTACATGTGCACATAGTATACTACTCAGTGACTTCCTGAAATAAAAAGTGCATCTGTCCACTTTCTACCACTGACATATCAAAATACTAAAGCATGCTCGAGAGGGGACACGAACACAAAAGTTTAGTATACATTATATAGTATAAGGTCAGGGAAATCTCACTGTAGAAAGGTACACCAGAAATGCCACATGGTGAATTATTATTCTCAATCCTGAATATTCCCCCTGCTATGATATAGTAAACTTTTAAACAGAAAATAAAACATACAGTTTGCTTTAAATGTTCTAAATATGTGCAGCAACGTCATGTTACAACATACAAAATATAATATCTGGAAGGCAAAGGTGTAAGTAGAGAGAGAGAGAGAGAGAGAGAGAGAGAGAGAGAGAGAGAGAGAGAGGAGAGAGAGAGAGAGAGAGAGAGAGAGAGAGAGAGAGAGAGAGAGAGAGAAAGAAAGAAAAAGTATGAATTAGCATGTAGGAAAAATATAGATTAGATATTGTTCCACAATGCAACACATGTAAATTTTCATATCGCATCTTCATCGGAATTGGATGATTCTGATGAAATACTACCGCAACGTTAATTGCATATCTTGCATTATGGAAATATTATCAGTTATACCTTTCCTGCACAAGAGATAGATAGATAGATAGAGAGAGAGAGAGAGAGAGAGAGAGAGAGAGAGAGAGAGAGAGAGAGAGAGAGAGAGAGAGAGAGAGAGAGAGAGAGAGAGAGAGAGAGAGAGAGAGAGAGAAGGAGAGAGAGAGAGAGAGAGAGAGAGAGAGAAGAAGAGAGACAGAGAGAGAGTGAAGGGAGAGAGAGAGAGAGAGAGAGAGAGAGAGAGAGAGAGAGAGAGAGAGAGAGAGAGAGAGAGAGAGAGAGAGAGAGAGAGAGAGAGAGAGAGAGAGAGAGAGAGAGAGAGAGAGAGAGAGAGAGAGAGAGAGTGCGGAGAGAGAGAGAGAGAGAGAGAGTTGCCACGAGTGGGAGAGTTCGGAGAGGCAGGAGAGAAAGAGGAGGTTGCAGAGAGGAGAGAGAGAGAGAGCAATGCGATAGAGAAGAGAAAGGTGATAGAGGCGCAGTTGTCGGCTTCTAATAGCTTACTAAGCATTGTTTGAGGCTTAGAATAAGTAACTGTTGGGAGAGAGAGAGAAGAGTGGGGGGAGAAGAGAGAAGAAGTAAGAAGAGGGTTTTTCAGCGAAAAGGAGGTGGGAAGGCTAGAGTAAGAGAAAGAGAAAGCTAAAAGAGAAATACATCTGAGGAATATAGGCAAGAGAGGGAAGTTAAGAGTGATTATAGAGTAGACTGGGAGAAGGAGTGAGGGGCTCCAAAGAAAAATATTGCTGGCCAGAGAGAGAGTATAGAATTGCAGAGAGTATGAGAGAGAGAAGGAGAGAGAGAGAGAGAGAGAGAGATGAGAGAGAGCAGAAGCAGAGTAAGAGTAATTTTATGTCATAGAGAGGAGAGAGAGAGGAAGAATAAAGTGTCGCTGATACTGAGAGAGGCGAGAGACAAACAGAACCAGACAGAATCAGTGCAGTATGTAGTAGAATGGAATACTAATCTAGTAATGAAGTAGCGACGAGACAAACAGACAGACAGACAGACAGACAGAGAAGGATACTAAGAGGGTGGTGCGAGGGGAGAGAGAGAGGAGAGAAGAGGAGAGAGGCGCTATGATGAGGTCAAGCACAATTTTCACGTGATGTTTGATGGCAATTGAGAGAAGTAATATTGTATGTACTACAGGACGTAGGATGTTTGATATTTCTCTATTTCTATGTTATGATAAAGATGAATGCAATATTATATTTAGGAGTAGAATGATTGTATCTGATAGAAATGGAGATAGAATAGTTTAGTATAATTAAAGAAAGTGATATTATAAGGAAGGATAGGTGAGTGCACGATGTGGAACCAGAAGGTTTTTGATTGACAGAAGGGGGGAGTCCCAGAAGGTGGGCGCTGGAAAGTATTTCAAAGAGATAGTATTCTATAATTTCAAACTAAGGAAACACTCAGATCGCAAGATGAACTGACTGCAAGGAGGCAATAGGTAGAGTAACAGTGAAATAATTAATGGCGCATAATAATGAGTGGTCATCCTAACCGAGAGAGATGGAGAGTCGGCAGGTAGTGATTGAAATAAATGAGAGGAGTAATGAGAGAGATATTGAGAGACGACGAGAGAGCACCTCTTTCTAGAGCAAGAATAGGGTAAGAGGGCAAGAGGATGGAAAAAATTCTGGATTCCAGATTATCGAGCCAGAGAGATATGATGAGTAGGAGTTCTAAATTTCGGTGAAGAGAAGTGACGCACATCTGGTAAAAAATAGATCAATAAAATTCGAATCATGAACTTTTTGAGTTATAGTTTGAACCAACCAAACAAACTAACTAACCAGTGCTACAAAAACATAACCCCTTGGCAGAGGTAATAAAAAAATCTGTGATTTGACAGTATTGCTTATTTTTTCTAATATGTGAAATTTTAATTTTCTTTTGCTTTGTCAAAAAAGATATATTACATTACATGTCTCCATTATTTTGTGGAGAGAAGCTTCATACAAAAAAAAAAAGAAAGAAAAAATGGATTCACCTCAGTCTTTTTAGATTCTTATTATTCATCAGTGACTAGAAGTGTAATAATTAATTTGCAAGTAGTTTACTGTTATAAAACAAATTTTTTCAGATATTGCAATGAATCACTGATTGTGGAAAAGGCTGCATTCCTTATAGCTTTATGCAGTAGCTCTTCTTGCAAATAATGCTTTTATTTACTTTCATTATTATTGTTTTTTATATTTTTTCCCTTGAATATTATATTAGAGAATTATTTTTGAATTACTTTGAAGTTTATTTTGTTTTGCATGATCTGCTTACTTACAAAAAGCTTGATTATATATTTATTGAGAATGAGGGTAAAGCATGGTAACTCTGCCCATAGATTTTGTTACACTATAGATTAAAAGTGGGTACCAACCCAACCATGTAAGTAGGTTACATTTTGCAATGAGAACCAATGATCCAGTCCACTGACTTTTTGCCAGGTAAAAGCAAACATCTTGCTAGTTTCTTCAGAAGATTGTGAATAGCCTTTAGTTTCACTTTGTTCTTGTTGGTGTGAGAGCATTGTCCAGTGTTTTGGATGTGTTTAATGTGATTGATGGCTTGGTTGATTTTATATTGAAATATACAAATAAATGCTCACAGTTGGGGTCAATGAATATTTTTTATTAATATAAAAAAGTATATTTGATACTTTCAATGTAGAAAACAGTTAAAGACGTTCTCAGCAGCATGGCCTCTAATCGCTAAATGGATGGCTGGGTACTCATCATTACAGTATAATCCATTAAAGATGATAAATTCAGTTAATCTATGGGCAATGTTAATGCAGCCTTAGAAAGTAAAAGATGAAGAAGTAACTTGAATGTGGGAAGGCAGGACCGCGGAGGAGCAGGGGGGTACTGCTGGAGGCACAGCTGAAGATCCTGGGGCTCGTAAAAATTTATAGCAGTCGCTTATTTGAGCACGCCACGAAAGGCTGAGCAAATTTATGAAGGGATGTATGTTATGATACTAAAACAAGTGAATCGTTACATCAGCAGTTATTGTATAACAACGCGTATAATTAACGGGGAAAAGTGAGGAGGGCGATTTCCTAAGTTAGTAAACACACGTATGTATCGACGCCCAAATCACTAAAAAGGGAATGATGGCCTGAAGGGCCAAGTCCTGTTCTATTTATGCCTCGGGGCCGGGCCGCCTGACGGTGGCCCTGGGTAATAGAAATGCATTAGTATATGATGAATGATTACTTATGCAGGCAAGTTTGGGTGTATTGTGTAGAGTAAATGTGGCATTGTGTGAGAATATGTGGGATTATGAGATTCTGTGAAAGAGATACTCTGAATCTGTTAGGCAGAGGGAGAGAGAAATAGAGGGAGGGAGAGTGTAGGAGAGAAAGAGGAGAAGGAGGCAGAGAGAGGAGAAGAGAGAAGGGAGAAGGAAGAAGGAGAGAGAGATTGAGTGAGTTTCATACTGATGCGATGAAAAGGAGGGGAAGAGGTAGGAGAAGGAAAAAATAGAGAGGAGAAGAGAGAGACAAAGAAAAGAAGAAAATTAAAAGAGAGGGAAGGAAAGGAAAAAGAAGAGAAAAGAGGAGTGTGTGATAAGTGTGAGTGCAGAGAGTGAAAAAGTATAAGGAGGAAGAAGAGAATGGAACGAGGAAAAAGGAGAAGGAAGGAGTATGTAAGGATGGTTGGAGTGGAGGAGAAGAGTAGAGAGAGAGGGAGGGGAAGAGAGGGAGAGGAAAGGGAGAAGTAGAGAGAGAGGGGAGCAAAGGGGAGGGGGAGGAGAGGGAGGGAGGAGAGAGGAGAGAGGGAGGGAGAGAGGGAGGAGAGAGATGAAGGGGAGGGAGGAGGAGAAGGGAGGGAAGGGGGGAAGGGGGAGGGAAGGAAGAGGGAGAGAGGAGAGAGGGAAGGGGAGAGGAAAGGGAGAGAGAGAAAGGGAGGGGAGACAGGGAGAAGAGAGGGAGGGAGGGGAAGGGAGAGAGAGAAGAGGGAGGGAGGGAGGGAGGGAGGAGAGAGGAGAGGGGCGGGACGGGGGAGGGGAAAGAAGGAGAGGGAGAGAGAAGAGAAGGGAGGGGAGGGGAAGGGGTAGAGAGAGGAGAAGAAGGAGAGGGAGGGGGGAAGTGG